AAAATGTTTGTGTAATTAGTCTATACAATGAAAATCAATGGGGACCAATGTAGTTCTGGACCCCATTGACTCTTATTGTGTGGGGGAAAAACAGTTCATCAAAATATCTTATTTTGTGTTTCACACAATATTGAACAGCATGAGAATGAGCAAATTATATGAGATTTTTCATTTTTGGGTACACCATTTTTTTTTTTTTTTTACTTGACCTCTCATTCAACTTTCCAAACAATCAGACATAATTTAATGTTAATGTTAGCAGAAGCTTTTTATTAGAGCAACTTGCAGACACTTTCATAACCCCATAGAGTATCCTGGGGTTACTTAAGTGCCATTTTCTGGGCTCCAATAACTCATTGTTACTCTCTAGTTCACCCTTGGGATTGAACCTGCAACCCTTGCAGTAACACCTCAGATGCTTAAAGCAGAAGTGTGTAGCATCTGCATCAAAGAATTGCAAAAATAATGACTGTTGGCTGCTAAAACAAACTGCAATTCTGTTTGCAGAAATTACACACTTCAGATATAATAAGTAGACTAACAGGTGCAAGTATCAAGGTCGTTCTTGCTCCTCCCCTTCATATTCATAGTCCATTTCCGCTCTCTCATACTCTAACTCCGCCCCCTCGTAGCCTTCATACACCTCCCCCTCGTAGATTAGCTCCTCCCTTTCATACTCCAGACCGCCGTCGTCATAACCAAGCTCTGCCTCCTCAAACGCCACACCTTGTCTCTCAGACTCCGCCCCTTCGTCATTATTTTGGGGTCCGTTCTCATCCCCAGTTGGGGTTGTTGATGAAACCGACTCATTTGTTTCCTTCTTCTTAGCAACTGCCAGGTTAAGGGCGGAGTTCATCCGGAGTTTCTTGAGTATTCCGTGAATGACCGGATTAGCTGCGGCTGCGGCTGCGGCTGCCGCCTCCTCTGCTTCCTTCTCCGCTCGTTCTTTTGCCTCTCTCCTTCTCTCTCTAGCCTGCAACACCTCCTCAGCCCCCTCCCCGACGATAAGCACCTCCTCCCCTACACGCGGTGGCTCCTTCACAGGGTTGTGGTCATAAGAGAAGAGTCGCAGCCCAGGAAGATGATGCAAGTTTGGAAACTCTGATATCCGATTGCGGTCCATGTCCAGAATCTCCAGCTGCTCCATCTTGAGGAGCACTCGCGGAAACTCCTGAAAGCGGTTACCGTACAGCCAGAGTCCTCTCAGGGACTCCATGCGCAATAGGTCTGAGGGAAGGGTGCGCAGACGGTTGTCCCCGATCTGCAGTGAGCGCAAATTTGGAAGGTCGTACAACTGCTTGGGGAATCGCTGGAAGTAGTTGCTCTCCACCCAGAGGCAACGTAAGTTCTGCAGGTTCCTCACTTCTGGTGGGAGGCTTATCAGCCGGTTGCTTCCCAGGTAAAGACACGTGAGATTAGTCAACTGGCACACAGAGAGAGGAACATCATCAAGCTTATTGAAGTCGAGCGCCAGGGTACGCAAACCCTGCAGCCGTGTGATACCCTTAGGAACGTCGCGGAGACGGTTTCCACAGACGTAGAGCTTCTCCAAGTACTCCAGATCTAGGACTTGACGAGGAAGGCGACGGAACTTGAAGTAGCTCAGATCCAACACCGGATCTCCGCTCGCCAAGAGCTCGTCGACTCCTAGCGGCAGCTCCTCATCCTCCACGACCTCCTCTTCTTCTTCTTCTTCAGCCGCTTCCTCCTCCTCCTCGCCTTCATCTCCTTTCTCTTTAACCTTTTTCTCCTTTTCCTCTCCTCCTTCGTCCTGGGCCTCTTTTCGGGACGAGTTGCCCATACCCTCGGCCGGCTAGCCCGGCGCTTGTCTGTGTGTGTCGTGAGAGTGTGTTTCAGGACGGGGTAAGAGGGTGAGGCGGTCTGTGGGGCTGGCCCCCCCTCCCCGTGTCAGTTTCACTCAGTAGGATTGACCCGGCAGTGACAGAGCCAGCACAGCGACACATGGTGCTCTGACTACAGGCGGCTTCCCCTCAGTCCGAGTACAACGAGGTCCAACGTCAGCAAACACGGCAGTGATACCAGCAAGGAGCCATATTCTGAGTGTTTGTGTGGATTGCTTCAATTAAAATACTCTTTATAAAACTACATGCTATAGAACAGATTATAATAATAATAGTAATAGTAGTAGTTGTAGTTGTAAAAATAAGTATAACTGTAACAGGAAGAAAGCTTAATTTTGTCTCTGTAATGTAAACTCAAAGTTAACAGATGAGTGTCAAAGTAGCTGCCAATGTTTGCATATTAATTACGTACCGTTTTCAAAGCTAATTAGTTCATTATTTAACTATTTTAAAGTATATAGTTTGTTAAAAGCATTAATTGACTCACATTACAGTCACAAACTAAGCGTTTCAGTCTGTTTGTGTGAACCCTGGTGCTGAGCGTCTCTCTGCCGACACACACAGCTCTTGTCCGGTGTCAAAACAACCCAATAGCTGGGTTATATTTAACCCAGCATTTTTTAGAGTGTAGACACTGTGATGAAAACTACTTTGTAAACTTTTGATCCTATATTAAATGCCACTTTTGTTGTGTTTTAAATGGATAAACACTTCCTAAAAGTGAACAATTGCACTAAATATCTTCCTTCTGCCTGCATGATTTTATGAATGTGTGAAGGCCAGGGCTGTAACCATTACAACTGTTTTTATGATGTTGCATTTAGGACCAATGAAAGCAACGTCTAAACCACTTTTAGAAATTAAATAAAAGTCCTCAATTGATTAGGATTACTAACCTAATTAATTTTCATGAGCCAAGCTGATAAGTTTTCTAATATGTCCTTGCTTTGACAACCCTGATGAAGGACAAAGGTTTTGCAGCGCTTTTGAAACATTTCAGGTCAAGATGATAAGTGCATTTTCTTTCTTGCTTTCTTTCTTTCCTCATGTTATGTAATAATGTCTGCATTGACATCATGCGTTCATTTTCTTTAATTAAAAGAAAGGATGATTTTTCGTTTTCAATGTAATATTTAACAGTTTATTTATCTGAAATGTTCAAATAAGCAGTTCTGAAGAGTCTAGAGTTGTTTTTTGCCATGCTTTTATTCCTGCTTTGTTTGCATGTTACTTTGTCGTGCAAAGTGGGGTAAAAAAAACAAAAAAACATTAACAGATGTCACTAACGCACAAAATAAGGAAGCAAGCAAAATCTTTCGGTACGCGTATTTCAGCAATTATTAATGAGGTTATGTGAATATTCATTATTGTTTCATTCCTAAAGACAAGGGTTGTATTGCAGTGCACTATAAAAAGTGAAAACTGTGTTATTTCAGCCTGGCCTGACCCTTAAAGGTCCCATACTGTCAAAACTGAAATTTCCTGGCTTTTTACATGATAACTGAGGTCTAGGTGCTATGTAACTACCATATAAGTTTCGAAACAGTCAGTCCACAGTAAAATGCACACAGCCTGCATAAAGTTGCTGTGATTTTTCACGAACTGTTGTGACTTCCGTAAAAAGTTGACGTCAGAACTACTCAGTCACAGCCTTCAGTCACCACCCCGAGCACCGCCCACCGTCCCACTCTCCTTTTGCCAAACCACAGACAACATTGCATCCATGCCATTGCTGAGCAACGACAACACCGAAACATGTCGAAAAGGTTAACTTTAACCACTGAAACCAGATCGGCCGACCTGTAACGTTACACTCTCACTCAAAAGATGGACGACCTGACAGGATTGTTACTATGAGGTGATCACATCTTACGTGTATAGTAAAGACAAACTCACCGTGTCTGTCTAGACATGATGAAGATGTATATACATTTCAATTTCAGCAGGAAACTATTTTTACAGCTACATTATTGTTCCAGCCACAATTAATCACAGCAATGTATATACAATTACAAATGATTATATATGAATCGTCAGTTTGTTGTTTTACACACATGCACACAGACATTATTTCATACACGACATAGTCGTGAAATGCAAGAAACATGGCAAGAAATCTGTAGTAATTTCTTAACAACAAAAGAATACCCATAACAACAAAATACAATAATTTGTTGAACCTTTTCTGATAAAAAAGTGTGTGCTGCAAACGCGAGCATTTTTGACGATCGTTTCTGTCCAGTCTACTCGTTTTATCACGTTTAACCACAGCTGTCGTCGTTTTTTTGTCTGGCAGTGGCAGCAGATATGCGATCAAATTTCTAATTTGATGTATTACGTCGATTCTGGCACCCAACATCACAACAAGATGATATTTTAAGCTCCTTATGTAGCCGAATCTGCGCTGGTTTGAATGGGCCGCCTCCAGTTTCCGCTTTGTTTTGCTGCCTCCAGCTAGCGCTGTGACGTCGGCTGACCCTAGTTACCTGTGGCTGGCCTGGCCGTGTGTCACTCAGAAAACAACAGGCCAATCAGAAGAGAGGCTCATGAATATTAATTAGACAGACCAAACTCGACCTGTTCTCAGCAGAGCTCCTGAGAAAGGAGCTGTAAAAATATATTGAGATGGTTTTTGGTACTCATACCGCAAATATATATTCTTAAGGACATCAAAACCTAAAATAAAACTCCAGAAAGGTGTAAAATATGTGACCTTTAAACGACTCATTGGTGTAACCTAATGTTTTCAGGTTGATTCTGTAATATTACTTCATATTTTTTTACTTGAACTAAATTTAGATGGTAAGCTCATTTTAGGTTACCTGACAAAACATTTTACAGTGTGAATATGAACCCTGAACAATGCTGAACAATGGGCTTTGTCTCACAAGATAGTGAGCTGCTTTTTGGGCATCATTTTGGGGAATTATGCTTAAAAATGGCTGGTTTTTACAACAATGTAGACTTGAAATTAATTTAGATTGCACCTTTTTGTACATTAAATAGTGCAGAATTAATGGCAGAAGTGAACATTAAATGCAATTTGTTGCATGTTTTGTCAAGTGAGTCAAACTGTTCTTAGACATTTTGATAAACCAAATGAAATATTTCATTGAATTACTTGGTTTTACAGTGCAAAGTAAGCAGCAGTCAGTCAGAGTTTGATCAGCGATGGGCGGCGGAGGACAGCAGACAGACCGGATCGCCGATACCAATGGGAGGTTCGGCACGTACACCTGGGAGGAGGTGCAGAAACACACTAAGTCTGGAGATCAGTGGATCGTGGTGGAAAGGAAGGTTTATAATGTGAGCCAGTGGGTGAAGAGACACCCCGGAGGACTGAGGATCATCGGACACTATGCTGGAGAAGATGCCACGGTAAAACACTCAGCATGAATACATTTACAGTACATTTAACACACATGGAAGAACTTTTATATACTGTACATCACATTACTGCAAAGCAATGTCTGTGTCTCATAATCTAGTGAGCTACCTTCCTAGGCACCCTTTTTCCTTTATGCTTAAAATAATGTGGTAAAATTGTGGATGCTGCACACTGGTGGTGGTTGAGGAGACCCCCTCCCCCCACATGATTGTAAAGTGCTTTGGGTGTACAGAAATACACAATAAAGCGCTATATATAATTGCATCATTCATATAAATGCATCATTCAAAATCGTTCATTTACATATTTTTGTAGACTGTATTATTGTAAAACAAAGCCTTATTGAGCTACTAGACTTTTGGTTAAAATGCTAAATAAAATGCCAAAAAAGTCAGAATTGTGAGATATAAACAGAATTGTGAGATGTTAATTAACAACTGGGAGTTTATAATTTGCAATTGTAAGATATAATCTAGTAATTATGAGAAGGAAAGTAATTGCGAGGGAAAAAATCAGAAGTGTGAAAAGTTACATTTACCGTTTTATTTTTTGTTTTGTGGCAGAAACAACAGGACAAAAAAATAATTAAAAATAAATAAATAAAATTTAAAAATGTCAGAATTGTGGGATATAAACTTAGAACTGTGAAATATAAACTCTAAATTGTGAGAAAAAAGTCAGAATTCTGAATGAATGAATGAGGCATTTACAGTATATAGCGCTTTTATTGTGTATTGCTGTGCACCCAAAGCGCTTTACAATCATGTGGGGGGGTCTCTCCTCAACCACCACCAGTGTGCAGCATCCACCTGGAGGATGTGACGGCAGCCACAGGACAACGGTGCCAGTGCGCTCACCACAGACCAGCTACAGGTGGAGAGGAGAGAGAGTCATAGAGCCAATCAAGTGGATGGGGATTATTAGGAGGCCATGATTGACAAGGGCCGGTGGAGGGAATTTGGCCAGGACACCGGGGTTACACCCCTACTCTTTACGAGAAGTGCCATGGGATTTTTAATGACCACAGAGAGGCAGGACCTCGGTTTAACATCTCATCCGAAAGACGGTGCTTTTTACAGTATAGTGTCCCTGTCACTATATTGGGGCATTCGGACCCACACAGTGAGCACCCCTACTTTTCTCACTAACACCTCTTCCAGCAGCAACCTAGTTTTCCCAGGAGGTCTCCCATCCAGGTTGACCAGGCTCAACCCTGCTTAGCTTCAGTGGGCAACCAGTCTTGGGCTGTAGGGTGATATGGTTGTGGATGAGATTATATCTCACGATTCTTAATTTTTTTCTTAGAATTGAAAGAAATTAAGTCTGAATTGTGGGATAAAAAGTTGCAATTACCTACTTTTATTTCTCCATACATAATGGCCAAATGTACTCTAGTATTACATAGCAGGCATCATACAAAAAATGCTATGTTAATGTGAATAGGGTTGCAAAGGGGTGGAACATTTCCGGAAACTTTCTGCCATCGTGGCTGTTATACTGGCTACCGCACAGGTATGTGACACATGTTTCATTAAACTGTGTTTTTAAAAGAGCAGCAGAATTGGTAACCAAAATCGGTTGCCATTTGGATGCTGGTGTACTTAAAGGGATCGTTCACCCAAAAATGGAAACTCTGTCATTAATTACTCACCCTCATGTCGTTCCAAACCTATAAGACCTTCGTTCATCTTCGGAACACTATGAGAATATTTTTTTATGCAAAGAAAACAAAAATAACAACTTTATTCAACAATTTGTCTCCTCCCTGGTGCCGTTTTGGAGAGTATTCACTGAACGCAAACAGCATATGCTATTCTGTGTCAGCTGCGTCACGTGTCACCAGGGTGACACGGAGGAGACAAATTGTTGAATAAAGCCGTTATTTTTGTTTTCTTTGTATACAAAAAGTATTCTCGTAGCTTCATAAAATTACGGTTGAACCCCTGATGTCACATGGATTATTTTAACAATCTCCTTGCTACGTTTCTGGACCTTGATCGTGTTACTTACATTGCTGTCTATGGAGGGTCAGAGAGCTCTAAGAATTCATCAAAAATATTTTTATTTGTGTTCCGAAGATAAACGGAGGTCTTATGGGTTTGAAACGACACGAGGGTGAGTAATTAATGACAGAATTTTCAGTTTTGGGTGAACTAACCCTTTAACTAACTTAGCTACCGTAACCGTTAGCTGGTCAACAAGGAGTTTTCTTGTAAAGAGCATAACTGGAAATGTCTTGATGCAAAAATCAACAATGTAAATGTTCATGGTTTTTTGTTTGTTTTGATTGTTTGTCTGTAGTCGCAGGCTGGATGGTTGCAGCATGACTTCGGTCATCTGTCCGTGTTTAAAAACTCACGATGGGATCACTTATTGCACAAATTTGTCATCGGATACCTGAAGGTACCAACATATCCTGGCCAGTCTTCACTAAAAATGATTAAAGATGGTTCCAGGAATACAGCTCATTAGCCTAGCTCAGGGGTGGCGAACTCCGGTCCTGGAGAGCCACAGCCCTGCAGAGTACAGCTCCAACCCTAATTAAAACTCACTTGCCTGTAGCTTTCTAGTAACCCTTCAGACCTTGATTAGCATTTTCAGGTGTGTTTGATTAGGGTTGAAGCAAAACTCTGCAGGACTGACGTTCGCCACCTCTGGCCTAGCTGTAGGTTATTTTCAGTCACTTGGTTTGTGGTCACATGTTGTTTTCAGGTTTCAAAGCTGTAACTTTTAAGCTTTCTTGTCATTTTGTAACCATTTTCGTTGAGGTAACGCAAAGTAAATGTAGGTAATTATACCAAAATAATACCGAAGGTTGGGTCATTCATGACATTTGCACATTTAGTTCATAACAACGATTTGCCTTTTTTAAAAGCAAAAATGTGAAAGTTCATACAATAGTTTCCACCTTGAAAAGAAGACAGGGTTTCAAGATGCCGTTTTTTACATTTGAACTTCACACAGCATCTTTTTCTGATTTTGAAAAAGTCAAAGTCAAAGTTGTCAAAGACATCCTTTGACAATGACCGTAGCGCAAGACACTGAAAAACCACTGAGGAAAAGATATCTGTTTATAGCGATGTTTCTGTGTTTTTTTCTTTTAAGTGCCCTATTATGGGTTGTGAAAGGTTCATATTTTGATTTTGGGAGTCCTCAACAACAGGTTGACATGCATGCAAGGTCAAAAAACACTTTAATTTTCTTATAATATGCATTTATTTTTACCGTACTTGCTCAACAACTCACAAACGATTCGCTCAACAATTAATTTTTCCAAACTCCTCCTTTGCGTGACGCTAATCTGCGGTGATTGGTCCGATTGGATCATGCCTGTAATGCCTGATAAAGCAGCGTTTGTGAGCGCAGTGCTGCTTTGTGTACAATGTTACCGGGGAAACCGCTATTTTTACCGCTCCAAAAGCAGCACCTAATGGCATTTTCATTCAGAACAACACGAAAAGACCAACAACTTGCCGGGCAATATGCTAGTGTTTCATGTTGACGTCAACATGAAACAGCTTGGGATTCGTTTTAAAAAGGACTCGTTTCAATGATTCAGAGTCGACTCTTTCTTTTGAGAGTCAATAACTTTATACACGGTGCACTTTCAAAACTTTGCAGGATGTTTTCATTCACTTAGAGCTGTGTTACACACTGCATGAAAGGTCATTTTCAAAAATCCATTATAGGAGGCACTTTAAGTTAAAATGGAAAATATCAAACAATAGAATCCACTTGGAATAGAATGCAGGGTTGTGAGCCTTTTGTTTTGAAACCTTGCCACAAAACACAGAAAAAGCTGCAAATCAAAGACAAATGAATAAAATAAAAGCATATATCCACCTGGACAAGAAGGATTTTGAGATACAGTTTATGAAAGTCAAACTTCTCAAGGGATACACTGAAAAAGATGAGTCAAACTCATCTGTTTATAACGACTTTTACCATTTTTAACAGTCAATAAAGGCCTTCTGAAGCAAATGATGAGTACAACAGTTAGCGGAAGCTAGAGATTATGGTTTGTAAAATTTTAATATAGATATTTTCATTGCATCACTTCATCTAAGAAGGGATTAATTAAATCCCGGATCCATGTGGAGCACTTTTTATGATGGATAGACACAATTTATAAAACTTCGAAGAACCAAGAAATTTTTTTAAATAGCTCCAATTGCATTTGTCTGAAAGAAGAAAGTCATATACACCTAGGATGGCTTGACGTAAGTAGATCATGGGGTAATTTTCATTTTCGGGTGAACTAACCCTTTAAAAAAGCAGCGCGAGACAAACAAGCCAAAGTCAAAGACATCCATCTAGCGCAGTGTTGCCAATTTAGCTACTTTGTAGCTAGATTTAGCGACTTCCCCGCCCCTTTTGAGACTTTTTTCAAAAGTTTAGGGACAAATATAGCAACTTCTTGGACAAGCCTTATCTAAGTTCTCATCTT